GAACATGAACAATGGTGGGGAGATTGTCTGAGGGAGTAGAGGGTACTGAGTGGAAAGGGGCAAAAGGGGAAAAATCAGGACAACTGTATAGCATAATCAATAACTATAATTTTAAAAAAGATGGATGATTTCAGTAAAAACAGTCTCCTGCTTTGATTACTCACTTATAATTAATATCTAATGCAATAAAATGTGAATAGACAGATATTGAGTAGTGAGATTATATATAATAATCTTTTTCTTTCAATATTGTAAATTGTAATTTAATTTGTATAAAAATATGTGTTACTTATGCAATTAGGAACTATAGTTTGCATAGATCAAAAACTTGAAAAAAAGAGTTTATTTTAATTCTTTTCAGCACTTAGAGTTTTTCATTCATGAAAATATTCTGAATCCCAGATTGAACCTGGACAATCTAAAGTTATAAATTCAACTCATAATGATTATTAAATCAAAATGCTATTTCTTTTTTTTTATTTTATTTTAATTTATTTTTTCAAATACATTTGTCTCTACCTACCCCCCACCACTTCCCCTTGCCCCCTCCCTCCTTCCCTTCCTCAGCTCTTCCCCTTTGGTTTTGTCCATGAGTTCTTGCTATATGTTCCTTGACTTTCTCCTTCTCTTCCTTTTCCCCGCCCCCCCTCCCTCCTTCCCTCTTGTCTCTGTTCATTTCTTTTCCTTTCAGTGTTGCTGGTCTTATTTTCCTTGCATCTTTGTAATGTTGGTTAGGTTCCACTTAGAGGTGAGATCATATGGTATTTGTCCTTCGCCCCCTGGCTTATTTCACTTAGCATAATGCTCTCCAGTTCTATCCATTCAAAATGCTATTTCTTAAAATAAAAATCAATAAGTGAATATGAACTTTCACAAGTAATCTTATTAGAAGGTTTCACTTGTGTACTTTAGAGAGCTCTTTGGGAATATTAACATTATTTTTACTAAAGGTTTAAAATTCTGGACATATCTACAGGATACCATAATAACCAGTTGGTTCATCAGCCATCTTACTGAAACTATTAGCTAGTTCAATGAAAGAAGTCTTTAGTCAAAGTAGTTGAATTCAATTGGTAGATATTTTAGTCAAAATTGTTGATTTTGTTTTTTGAGTGATCTTCAGAAACAGTTTTTTATGATTTTAGGCTTTTGCTACTCTGAAATCATCTGTGTATACACACACACACACTTATACATAGATACTCCCCCATCTACCTCTGTGGTATGCATTTTCTTAAATATACCTTTCCTGTTTTCTAATCCACTGTGTAACCTTTTATTAGTTTATTCATCACATAAAATAGTATCTACAAATTAGTCATTTGCATATATTAGATGTCTTTTTGAATTTATAAATTATTCTTTGATAACAGTTTTTTAAGAACTACAATTTTATTTAGTCATTTCTCATGCAGGACAATAATAGTGCTTTGGAGATTTAAAAACTATAGTGGCTTTCCTTACATCAGTAGAACAGTGCTGTAGATTTAATATAACTTTTTATACATGTAACACATAAGCACAATAACTTCAGTTTCATTAAATATCAATGACAAACTCTCTCCTTGAGTTTTTATTTGTATTGGCCACAGTAGAATTCCATGATTTACCCCACTGAGTGCAATAGTGGTCTTATGAAGAACACTTCCCATGGTCTCCAACCCTATAGGGCTAACATATACTGAGAACTGAGAGATTAGAGCTGATGATAGCTTGATATAGTAGAAACACTGGGGAAATTTCAGTATTATTTACCCATGAATGCAAAATATGAAAATAAGTCCAGGAACCATCACCCACAAGTGGCTTTCCTGACTGGCTTTTTACTATTTTTCATAAATCCAGTACTTCTTTTATAAAAGTTATGATAATCTGGAACCTCACTACTATTTACCTTTAAAAGAATTAATATAATTCCTAGGGAAAAAAATTAGCTGCTTCAGCAATCAATCTCACCAAAAATGCTAAATTAGCATAAGATGTACCATGAAACTAATAATAACCCAGAAAGAACACGAAGAAGATAAAAAAATTTAAATCAAAGCAAAATATGAACTGTTTTTACCATATAAAACTAGTTGACAAATGTATCAATTTGAATTTATTAAATTTTTGTTCCATCTAAATAGTTTTTCATATATGTGATGCTATTTCTAATCAATATAGTTTTCAATAGTCAGTTTGAATAACTATAGAATAGTATAAAATAGTCTATGGAATACTTGAAATACTGTAGTCATGTTTTGAAAGCATTTAAAAGATATTTTGTTATTTAGTAACTTTGTAAAAATAATTTATACTTGTTGCTGAATTGTGTGAAATGCATGTCTCTGGGCTTTTAAGTTTTATGTGTTATGTGTTTCGTAAAGATGATTTGATTCTAAGCCATATCGATTTTTTTATTGATTCAGCGTTATTTCCATTTAGTTTACTGGCGAGTTGTGCTGAACACCCAAGCAAAGCAACTTCCTTATGTTCTACAAATCCGGTTGGAGCATAG